CACGACCTTAAGTGTCTTTTGGCCATTTGAACTTCTTCTGTTGAGAATTCTCTGTTCAGTTCAGTGCCCCATTTTTTAATTGGGTTAATTAGCATTTTAAAATCTAGATTCTTGAGTTCTCTATATATTTTGGAGATCAGACCTTTGTCTGTTGCGGGGTTGGTGAAGATCTTCTCCCAGTCAGTAGGTTGCCTTTGTGTCTTAGTGACAGTGTCCTTTGCTTTACAGAAGCTTCTCAGTTTAAGTAGATCCCATTTATTCAATGTTGCCCTTAATGTCTGTGCTTCTGGGATTATACATAGGAAGTGGTCTCCTGTGCCCATCTGTTGTAGGGTATTTCCCACTTTCTCTTCTATCAGGTTCAGTGTGTTCGGGCTGATAGTAAGGTCTTTAATCCATTTGGACTTGAGTTTTGTGCACGGTGATAGATATGGGTCTATTTTCATTCTTCTACAGGTTGACATCCAGTTGTGCCAGCACCATTTGTTGAAGATGCTTTCTTTCTTCCATTGTATACTTTTAGCTCCTTTATCGAAAATGAGGTGTTCATAGGTTTGTGGGATAAAATCCGGGTCTTCTATTCGAATCCATTGGTCGACTTCTCTGTTTTTATGCCAGTACCACACTGTTTTCACTACTGTAGCTCTGTAATAGAGTTTGAAGTCAGGGATGGTAATGCCTCCAGAAGATTTTAGTGTATAGGATTGTTTTGGCTATCCTGGGTTTTTTGTTTTTCCATATAAAGTTGATTATTGTCCTTTCCAAAGCTAACTTACACAGTTACAAAAAAATATTAGTAACCACCTGTGTCTTATCAGATCACCATGGATTAAAGTTAGAATTCAACAACAATGCTACCCCTAGAAAGCCTACAAACTCATGGAAACTGAACAGTCAACTACTGAACCATACCTGGATTAAGGAAGAAATAAAGAAAGAAATTAAAGTCTTCCTTGAAATCAATGAAAATAAAGAAACAACATACTCGAACTTATGGGACACTATGAAAGCAGTCCTGAGAGGAAAGTTCATAGTACTAAGTGCCCACCTAAAGAAAAAAGAGAAAGCACAAATTGGAGACTTAACAGCCCACCTGAAAGCTCTAGAAAACAAAGAAGGAGACTCACCTAGGAGGAGTAGAAAACTGGAAAGAATCAAACTGAGGGCTGAAATCAACAAAATAGAAACACAGAAAACAATCCAAAGAATCAATGAAACAAAAAGCTGGTTCCTGGAGAAAATCAACAAGATTGATAAACCCCTATCCAAACTAATCAAACGACAGAGAGAGAACACACAAATTAATAAGATCAGAAATGAAAAGGGGGATATAACCACAGATACAGAGGAAATTCAGAGAGTCATTAGATCTTACTACAAAAGCCTGTATGCCACAAAACTGGAAAATGTAAAAGAAATGGACACTTCTTTAGATAAATACCATTTACCAAAATTAAACCAGGACCAGGTGAACAATCTAAACAGACCTGTTGGTCGCGAAGAATTAGAAGCTGTTATCAAAAACCTCCCCACCAAAAAAAGCCCAGGACCAGATGGTTTCAATACAGAATTCTACCAGAACTTCCAAGAAGACCTAATACCTATACTCCTTAATGTATTCCACAATATAGAAACAGAAGGGTCATTACCAAATTCCTTTTATGAAGCCACAGTTACTCTGATACCAAAACCACTCAAAGACTCAACCAGGAAAGAGAACTACAAGCCAATCTCACTCATGAATATCGACGCAAAAATCCTCAACAAAATACTGGCAAACCAAATCCAAGAACACATCCGAAAAATTATCCATTATGATCAGGTAGGTTTCATTCCTGAGATGCAGGGCTGGTTCAACATACGAAAATCTATCAATGTAATCCAGCATATAAATAAACTGAAAGAAAAAAACCATATGATCATTTCATTAGATGCTGAATACGCATTTGACAAAATTCAACATCCCTTTATGATAAAAGTATTGGAGAGATTAGGGATACAAGGGTCATACCTAAATATAATAAAAGCTATATACAGCAAGCCGACAGCTAACATCAAATTAAACGGAGAGAAACTCAAAGCCATCCCACTTAACTCAGGAACACGACAAAGCTGTCCACTCTCGCCATATCTCTTCAATATAGTGCTTGAAGTTCTAGCAATAGCAATAAGACAACATAATGGGATCAAGGGGATTCGAATTGGAAAGGAAGAAGTTAAACTTTCGTTATTTGCAGATGATATGATAGTGTACATAAGCGACCCCCAAAACTCCACCAAAGAACTTTTACAGCTGATAAACAGCTTTAGTAATGTGGCAGGATACAAGATCAACTCCAAAAAACCAGTCGCCCTCTTATACATGAAGGATATGGAAGCAGAGAGGGAAATCAGAGAAATTTGTATTTTCTTGATGGCTAAGGATGTTGCATATTTCTGTTTTTCTTAACAATTTGAGATTCCTCTGTTGAGAATTTTCTGTTCAGATCTATACCTCATTTTTAATGGTTTATTTGGATTGTTGTTATCTAGTTTCTTGCATTTTTTACATATTTTGGACATTAGCCTTCTGTCAGATGTGAAGTTTGTAAAATTCTTTTTGCATCTACAGGCTGCTGTTTTGTCCTAGTGATAGTGTCATTTGCCTTACAGAAGCTTGTCAGTTTCACTAGGTCCCATTTATTGATTGTTTATCTTAGTGTTTATGCTATAAGTGTCCTATTCAGGAAAATATTTCTGTACCAGTACTATCAAAGCTATTTCCCACTCTCTTCTACTAGGTTTTCTGTGTCTGGATTTATGTTGAGACCTTTAATCCACTTGAACTTGAGTTTTGTATAGGGTCATAGATGTGCCTTCTTTTATATGCTGACATTTGTTGAAGATGCTTTTTTTCTTTCCAATGTGTATTTCTGGCTTCTACAGCAAAAATCAGGTGTCCCTAGAGTGTGGATTTATTTCTGGGTCTTTGGTTGGATGCCATTGACAAATTAGCCTATTTTTATTACTGTAATTTGAAATATGGGATAATGATTCTTCAGGAAGTTCTTTTATTGTACAGGATTGCTTTAGCTATCCTGGGTTGTTCGTTTTTCCATAAGAAGTTGAATATTGTCCTTTTAAAGTTTGTAAAGAATTGTGTTGGAACTTTCATGGGGGTTGCACTGAACCATTGGATTTAGTAGGATAACCATTTTTACTATGTTAATCCTCCCAGTCTGTGAGCATGGGGGATCTTTCTGTCATCTGATTTCTTCTTCTACTCTTTCTTTAAAACCGTGAATTTTTTGTCATACAAGGCTTTCATTTGTTTGGATGATGTCACCCCAAGACATTTTATATTATTCGAGGCTACTGTGAATGATATTTCCCCCTGATTTCTTTCTCAATCCATTTATCATCTATATAGGAGGTCTATTCATTTTTGGTTTTTGATAACCTTGTATCCAGATGGTTTCCAGAAAGTGTTTGTCAGCTATAGGAGTCTTGGTGGAATTTTTAGACTCATTTACTTGTACAATCATAACATCTGAAAATAATTTACTTAGATATCTTCCCTTTCTATTTGTATCGCCTTGATCTCCTTCAGTTGTCTTATTGCTCCAGCTGGGATTTCAAGTACTATATTGAATAGGTTTGCAGAGTGGGGAACTTGCCTTGTTCCTGATTCTAGGGAAATACTTTGAGTTTCTATTCATTTAATTTGATATTAGCTACAGGCTTGCTGTAAATTGCTTTTGTTTTGTTTAGATATGTCCCTTGTATTCCTTATTTCTCCAAGACTTTTTAAATGAAGAGGTGTTGGATTTTATCAAAGGCTTTTTCAGCATCTAATGAAATGTAGTTTTTTTTCTCTCAGTTTGTTTATATGATTGATTTCATTGGCTAATTTTCGTCAGTTGAACTATCCATGTAGTTCTGTGCTAAAATCTATTTGATCATGTTTGATGATCTTGTTTATGTATTCTTGGATTTCATTTGCAATTATTTGACTGAGTATTTTTACATCAATGTTTATGAGGAAAATTGGTCTGTAATTCTCTTTCTTTTTGAGTCTTTGTGTAGTTTGGGTATCAGGGTGAATGTGGCCTAGTAAAATGAGTCAGACAATGTTCTTTTTGTTTTTATTTTGTAGGATAATTTGAGGAGTATTGGTGTTAGCTTTTGTTTAATGTTTGGTAAAATTCTGCTCTAAAACCAGTTTCCACAATCAGCAAAAAGTACTCTAGAAAATTATACCCACATTGCCACAATGTGGATTATGGATATTTTTGTTTGTTTAGAGTGTTGGTTACAGGTTTTTCTGGATAATAATCAGGAAGAAAGCTAAACAAAAAAGATTAGATTCAGAGTTTTTGTTTTAAAAATAAAACAAAAGAGGGTAGTGCTGTGGGACAATGGTCTTGCCCACTGTAAATATTTGTCACTTGTATGGTTTAATAAAATGCAGATTGGCCAGTTGCCAGGCAGGAAGTAAAGGCAGGATGATAAGAACAGGAGAATTCTAGGAAGAAGAAAGCTGCAGTAGCTTCTTTTCTAAATTCCTCTGTGTGTGAATATTTTTAATTTTCTTTAGTAGATTTTTCTAAAACTTGTATCTTTTCTATAGAAAGTCCATCTAAGACTTGTATTCTACCAGCCAAATTTTTTCGTATTTCTTATTTATCGGTAAATCTGTCTAAAGCTTTTATCTTAATCAGTAGTATTTCTAAAGCTTATATCTTATCAATAATAGGCTTATATCATCAATAAAATTATCTTATCTGTCATAGTCATCAAGCTACATTTTTAAGGATAAAATATTAATTACCAAACTGATAGTAATTGAAATTGACAGTAGGTCAATTCCCTCTAAAGAGTATATCCCTTCATTTAGAGTTTACATTTTCATATCATCCATGGTAATACTACACAGGGTCCTCATGCCCTGCATTATGATAGTCCCCATTCTTAAAGTTGGAAATACTTTTCTTTTTAATGTTATTTAATTATTCTTAAAGGACTTCGCAGGTATCTCAGCAAATCTGCTGACTTCTCACTGTTTGTGATCGTTGTTGGCCAGCAAACTCAAGTCCCTCCACAATTCCCAAGCAGGAGCCTCCTTTCCCAGAGTCCTGTCAAATGGCAGCTGACTGTTGTCAGTGCTCATGCAGAGAAGCCCAGCCAGCAACTGCAGCAGAATCAGGTGGCATGACTTCTCTGTCCGTGTGGTCATGCCACACATTGACACATCAAATATTGGTTAAATTTTGGCCCTGTGTCTGCACCTTAATCAACTGCTATTTCAGCCAACAATTATTAGTCCAGAAATACCAGCCTATTTTGTAGCAGCCATTTGGGTGGCATCCTCGCAGAAATTCTGTTCCAGTGGGCACTTGCTCTCTCACTGCCACTAAAGGTTGCTTTAACTAAATATCTACATTCTGTTTATAAATCAGACTCAAGATTCAAAGGCTGGGTTGAAAACCTGATAGCTCAGAGTCTGGGTCACAAATGGATAACCTCTCCTTGCTGGTGTTTCCAAAAAGCCCAGTCCTTCTGCTCTTTCAAAACAAACAAACAAACAAACAAACAAAAATAGCTGTGTTACTCCAAATACCTCCCCATCTCTATCCCTCCTGGATGCCCTCTAAGACTCTATGATTACTTTTTGACAACTCGTTGGTAACTCAGTCTCTTGAACTATGGTTAATTTTATTGAATCAATGCAGATGCAAACTTCAGGTTCAAAGGGTGATTGAATATCCCCCAATTCTCCAACTGGAGAAAGGAGTTTAATCAAGTCAGCTCATGAATTATGCCTACTAGGCAAGGGGTTGGAAGAAGGCAAGCAGAGCTAGTCTACAAACTATTTGACAAAATAAGGTTGCTCATAAAAAGGAAATAATTGATTAGGATGTAATAAATCTATTTTTAAAAGATGTTGAGAAAGATGTTGACATATGATGATACAACTTCTAATTACTATTTTATAATCATTTAAATATTTAAAACTCTTATTTAAATATTTTCTAGAGTCAAGATGCTCATGTATGAATTGGATTCAAATGACAGAGAGGGGTTCATTACCCATGACAGAAGGTACTATTCTTATTTATCTTTGGCCAGCACTGAGGGAATGGAGAGTTCACCTTGCTTAGAATCGGTACCTAATGCTTTAGCTTCTGGAGAGACTTAGGAGGAGTGGAAGAATCTGGTGATGTGAGAGTTATGTCAGGAGGGACCTGAACGATGGTCTCTGCACCTTTGCTGTCTTAGAGTAAGAAAGGCTATGGTATTAGTACCCTCCCAAGTCTGTGCTAAAGAACCCTTCATCATTTATTTAGATGACCTTTATTTGATGAGACTTGGGAGGACCTGAGGACCCCAAAGAGGCAAGTGCCCCTGAAATGGTATAGTTGAGCTGGTTAATACAATGCTTATCAGAGTCAAGGCTCATTCACAGCAACTTCTGCTCCTGTTAAAGTGGTGACATCACTGAATCTTTTGTCACAGGTGACTATAACAGATAATTTGTTGAGTAATCACCACTCAGCAAACTTGTATCCATCATGCAATCTAGGTCAGTACACAGTCAGTGGGAAGTTTTATGGTGCAAGATGCATGCAGCCCACAGGCCTTGAATTTTCACATTAGAAGGTGAATAATATATTTAATTCTTATAGATTGAACATATAAAAACAAGAATTGTGAGAAAATTCGAGTATTTCTGGAATACATTCATAAGTCAAGCAATGCTCTTGTGTAATTTCATGTACGCTGCTGTGGACAGACTTAACACAGGTTTCCTTTTCCTGTTCTTTGTGTGTGTGTGTCCAGTTAGCACTACACTGTTTGTAAAGAAGGGTGCAAACGCTGTGCTGTGCTGCCCTGCTCTTCCAATGACAAAAGCAGTATTAATAATGTGGTTCATAGCCCCCAGAGGGCAGCCTCCTTGCAAAATATCCTACAGAGTTGATACAAAGGAGAACGATGAAACCAACTGTACGGACAGGAGAATCACCTGGGCATCCACACCTGATCAGAGTCCTGACCTTCAGATCAATGCAGTGGCCCTCGATCATGACGGGCTTTATTCATGTGAAATAGTAACACCGCAGGGGAATTTCCTAAGGAGACATGACCTCCAAGTGCTAGGTAAGTGACATGGTCACATATCATGCTATTTCAGGTCACCAGACTTTAGATAGAAACAGACGCCTTTGTAATTTAGGACCAGACTGAATCATTTTTCCCTTCCATCTCCACAGTGCCTCCAGCAGTATCCCTGCTTCCAGGAGAAAACAGAACAGCAGTTTGTGAGGCAATTGCAGGCAAGCCGGCTATGCAGATCTTTTGGAGTCCAGATGGGGATCACATCACTAAGCAGGAATCACACAGCAATGGCACCGTGACTGTCAGGAGCACATACTACTGGGAGCAGAACAATGTGTCTGTTGTGTTCTGCCTTGTCTCCCATCCAACTGGCAACCAGACTCTGTCCATAGAACTGAATCAAGGTAAGTGTCACCCCTTTTTAAGAATAAATACTTGATATTTAACTTGTTCTTTCACAAAAGAGAAGTATTCTAATTTCATTCTGTTTGTGACAAATAGTGTGGCTAAAGCTACCTAGAGGAGGGGAGAGGAAAGTCAAGGCAACTCAAACAGAAACCATGGAGCTGCTTACCAGCTCCTCAGACCTGTGCTACCATCTCACCTGCCCAGGGAGTGGGGCCACCCTTAGTGTCCTGGCCTTTTGGGAAGATCTAGGCTGTGTCAAGTGGATAGTTCATGCTAACTAGGACAGCAGATCCGCTTCAGACACTAGCAACAAGTTTTCAGTTATCACCTGCAGTTCTTATCAACTATCTATACATTCAGGATGTTTTCATAATCTATGTATCAGGATCAGTGATTTGGTAGAATGGTTCACAGAACTGAGGATGTATTTTTGCTTTATCTACCTCCCCTTTCTTTTTCCCCCCGACTGTCTGTCCCTCCACTCTGCTTCTCTGCCTGTTTCTCTGTCTTTCCCCCCTCTCTCTGCCTCTCTTTTCTGATGCTACTGTCTGTAAAGGTCGGTCCCTCCTACCCTCCCTCCCTCCCTCCCTCCCTTCCTTCCTTTTATGCTCCTTTTCCCTTAACAGAAATCCTTTCACATGAGCTGTGTGGGATGGTGTCTTCCTCGTGCCATACACTGAAAAATGAGGAATTAGGGACAGTTAACAGTTTCTTGAGGAGAGTCAGCTAGCTTTAAGGCTGTTGTTCTTCAAAGTCCCCAACTCAGGAGATTAAAGGGCAACATAAATTGAAGCCCGTGTGTTATAAAAACAAGGATCAAAAGTTGGTGGGATAACAAAGAGGGGTATGGATCTGGTAGGAGTTAGGAGGAGGAGTTGTAGGTGAATATGATCAAAATACATTGTATGAAATTCTCAAGACTTTTTATTACATAAAAAATTATGCCTTTCAAAGGTCTAAAATTTGCATGGAATGCCCTTAAGACAGAGGACTCAGAAGATCTAAGATTGAATTTACCCAAAAACTGTTTCCCTGAACTAGCTTTCATAGTCGCCAAAGTGCTGTGCAAGGTGCCCCAAAAGGGAAGCAATTGGTGATGCCAACTGTCTATGAAGATTATGAACCACAGCCATGACCAGCAAGTCTGGTCCATAAGGTTCAATAGTGGTAACCACATCTTGGCAACAACAAAAGCTGTCCAATTTTATTCAAGGCCCATTCAATAGGAGGTACTGGAAACCTAGCCAGCTACTCAAGGTTAGTGAGATCATTGATCTTAGAGAAAATGTACTACATCCCTAAGTTCAACTAGAGTAATGCTTATCTGAATTAAAAATACTCTTATGCCTACCAATAAGTGTGGCTCTTAACCCTTACCAAAGAAGTTTTCCGTTGTAATAGACAAAAACCATTATAGAATGTCACAAATGGTCAAAATGCAGAGAAGAGTGATCATAGAATGTCCAGTTCCCAAAGATACATATACAACATAATTACTATACCTAATATTCAGAGAATATTATAGAAGAGGGGGAAAAACACTAAAAGAGCCATAGGACCAGAAAATTTGCTATAAGTTTCTGTCTCCGCAATTTCCTGAATATAACACCAGTAGCACAGACACTAAGGTCAACTATTAATAATCAGGACCTCCTGAAATTGAAAAGTTTCTGTAAGGCAAAGAATACTGTAAATAAGACAAAACAGTGGCCTACAGAATGGGAAGAGATATTCACCAACCCCATATCTGACAGAGATCTAATCTCCAAATAAATAAAGAGCTCAAGAAACTAGACATCAACGAATCAAATAATCCATTTTTAAAAATGGGGTACAGACCTAAACAGAAAATTCTCTCTGTTGAATCTCAAATGACTGAGAAACACCTAAGGATATGATCAATATCCTTAGTCATAGAGAAGTGCAAGTCAAACTGACTCTGAAATTCCATCTGACACCTGTCAGAACGGCTAAGATTTAAAAAAGGAAGGACTGCTTATATTGGAGAGGATGTAGACAAGGGGAACAGCCTTTCATTGCTGATAGGAGTGCAAACTTTTATAGCCACTTTGGGAATCAATTTGTCAGTTTCTCAGAAAACTGGGAATTAATGTACCTCAACATCCAGCTGTATCATTCCTGGGCATATACCCAAAGGATGCTCAATCATGCCACAATGATAGTTGCTCAACTATTTTCATAGCAGCTTTATTTGTAATAGCCAGAATCCGGAAACAACCCTCAACCAAGTAATGGATAAAGAAAATGTGATATATTTACACAATTGAGTGTTACTCTTCTGTTTAAAACAATGAGAAACAGGAGATTTGAAGGCAAATGAATGGAACTAGAAAAGCATCAGCCTGAGAGAGGTAATCCACACCTAGAAAAACAAACATGGTATGGATCCACTCATAAGTGGATATGATATTAACTTTAAAATAAAGGATAATCATGCTACAATCCACAGACCCAGAGAGGGTAGATAACAAGGAGGACCCAAGGTCAGACACATGGATGTCCCTGGAAAGGGGAAATAGAAGGGATGTCGTGGGTGGACTGAGGGTGGGTGAGCATGAGCGCTTGAGGAATTGGTTTGGGGAGTGGGCGAATGTTGGGAATACTGAAAAGGTGGCTTTTGGGGATCAGGCAGAAACCTGATGAAAGGGTAACTCTCAAGAATTACAAGGATGATCCCAGCTAAGACTCCTAGCAATAGTGAATACATATCCTAAACTGGTCATTTCCTATGATCAGATAGGTGACTACCCCAAATGTTTGAATGTAATTGGATCCCATAATTACACAGAGAATAGCACTATAAGGTGTGGCTATGCTGGAGTGAGTATGGTCTTCTTGGAGGAAGTGTCTCACTGTGGAGGTGGGCTTTGTTTGAGGTTTCCTATGCTCAGAAACCGTCTACTGAGGCAACTGACTTATTGTTGCCTGCAAGGTGTAGGACTCTCAGCCCCAGTACCACATCTGCCTGCATGCTGCCATGCTCCCTGTTGTGATGAAAATGGACCAAACCTCTGAAACAGTAAACAAACCATTCTAATTAAATGCTGTCTTAATAAGAGTTGCCATGCTCAGTTTGTCTCTTCACAGCAGTGAAGACCCTAACTAAGTCATCCCTAGACTAAGAATTATGGATAACTAAGGGTTACTGAGAAGGGGGTGAAGTAGTCTTCTCCAGAGATGGCCCCCTAGTTGGTTATCCAATACTAAGTGTCCAGTTCTGAAATCATGCACATTCAAGCAACACTAAATAAACAAAGCGGATTGCATTTGCATATTGTATAAAAATAGGCAACTAAATCAATTCATAAAGAAGAGGCTAGGAATTTCAGAGGAAGCATTGAAAGGTTCGAGTAACTAGTAGGAATGGGTAGAAAAAATGCAATCATATTTTTATAAAAATGAATATAAGTTTGCATGAAACCTTCCTTATATAACTAGGAAGTATTAACAATACTTAGTGTGCATCTATTCACTGTAAAATATTTGTTAATGCCTATTAAGCACAAAAGGTGGACTAGGTTACTAAATTAGATCATGAAATAATGATACCTAAATATCATTTAATTTGAATTATAATTGATAAGGTTTGCTGGTTTTGGTATTCCCTAAAACATTAGGAGTACTGTAAGAGATTTTACAGCTGTTTGTCTTAATTCCTGAATTAATTAGAGCCATTATTGAACTGACTTGTCTTTTACCCTTGCCTGTAATTACAGGTATCACCAGCACGATGCATTCCCTGCTGACCATTCTTTATGTGAAACTTTTCCTTCTGGGGATTATTCTGCTCATCCTAGGATTTGCTTTCTTCCAGAAGAAAAATTATTTCAGGTAGGAATAGAAACTGAAATGTTAAGACTCCTTAGATGAAAACATTGTCAAAAGTTTGAGCTCACAATGGACTGGGAAGGTATGTTATATGACCCCATCATGGTTGTTCCTTCAGCTCTTCTAAAACACCAGGCCTTCTTTAAATGATGGAGGCCAGGCTTAGGTACCCACAGCACTGATGTTTGTGTTCTTTCTGGCTGGTGGGTCTCCACAGAAGCAGTAGAGGTATAAAAGCTTGCTGGGCAAAATAAAGGTTGCTGTTCTTCCACCAGAAAAGAAGACTCCATGTGTCAATCCCCACACCCCCCGCCAGTCTTGGTTATCCAGGCTGCGCTGACCACAGCACAGTTCTGAGGAGGGACATAACCTGGCCTTCTCTTTCAGGAACCAGTGGTAGAAATGAAGTTGCTGGAACTTTATGAATTTATTTACAAATTTCTTGACTCCCATGGGTTTCTGTTTATTCCTGTTTAATTGTATTTTATAATATTTGTTTTTGTTTATTTCTAGAAAATGAAAATCTAGCTTTCTGAAGCTCATTAGTCTGATGACACAGTACAAGAAAACAGCCATTTGCAATCACCTTTCTCACTGACATCCAGCTTACCTGCTCCTGATGTCTTCATGGTTGTTAGAAGTCATATGTCAGCTGGCAGTCATGCAGTATAAATATACAGGAAAAATCTTGGGTCTTACTGCCATGATTGGCTATCTACTCTCTTATTAGGGCTTAGCAAATGGTGAGCAACCATGGTGGATAGATTTCTGTCACCCACATCCTCCAGGTTAGCTTCTATCAACTTCCTGTTCCTAGCACATTTTATGTGATCATAAATGTTATACTATCAGATACCATGGCAAGCAAAATCTTCAAATTAGCCTCTAGCTAGCTTTTTTTCCTTGGTTGCTGCCCAGTAGCTGGACAGTTGTCTTTTTCTGAAATTAATGATTGTATACATTGCTAGGAACCATTTTTTAAATAAGTATCTCTGTAGTTTAGTAGATGCTAAAAGTTGAGCCCAGAGAAAGCACTGCCAGTGCGATGGAGATAACACTGGAAATCCCCTTGCTGTTTAGAATCTCAGGATCTCAATCCCCTTTGCTGTCTCCAATGTGAATACAGGGTTTGGGGTTGTCAGAGAGGATAAGGGTAACATACTGTTGAGCCCTAACAACTGGAAACCAAGATCGTATCTTACATGAAACAGATTAGTCCTATAATAAAGAAAATTTTTTCAGGTAAAAGAATTATTTCTTGGGTAAAGTGGCAAGTGATTTGTGCAATTACTTTTTATTAAAAGTCTGGGTAAAAAATAAATGCCTGATTCTGGAAGATACCTGGATGGTAGCCTTAGGTGCTTCTTTAAAAGTTCAAATCCTGTCCGTTTCACAGTCTAGTGTAGTTGACCAAGCCAGGGCAGAGAACAAATGGGTGCTGCTATAAAGCTACTGTTTTATTCTACAGTTCTGTTCTCAGAGTTGTTTATATTCAGTTTTGACTAGGGAGAGGATTGTATTTGGGATAATTTATGAGTCTGTCCAGGAGTAGTAAACCCACCTGTTTAGTCCTATGAACACACTAACTTGTAGGAAGCCTTGACAACGTAGGCTAGTTTGTTTGAAGAAAAAGTTTATAGATTGGTGCAGACTTAGAAAATCTCTGCACACAATAAATAGCAGGAATTTTATATTGACTTGTGGAATATTTGTCCAGATGTGTTGCATTTGTTTCTGCTCCAGAACATTTGTTTAATGATGCAAAGATGTGCTGCATTTTTTTTTTTGCATTGGGCTAATTCTGTGGTTAATTAATTGATTTGGTTAAAGCTGTGTTTCCTGCATGAATAACCAGATTGGTCTACTAAAGAACTGAACAGCCAACTGCTGGATAGAGAAAAAGAGATGGGACTGGCCAGCAGATTGAATAAATAGGAGGAGAAATCCAGGAAGGCACGTCAAAGAAGTGAGAAAATAAGGGAGGAGAACATCAGGTGCCAGGCACCCAACTACACAGCAGGGATGGAATTAGAAGTAAAGAATGGTGTTCAGAAAGGTAAAAGCCCAGAGGCAAAAGGTAGGCAGGATTATTTAAGTTAAGAGAAGTGGTCAAGAAACAAGCCAAGCTATGGCCAGGCATTTATAAGTAATAAGACTCCATCTGATTTATTTGGAGCTGGGTGATGAGCCCCCAAAAGTGCAAAGAGCAAAGACATAAAAGTAAAAACTACTAACAACAAGGAACAGTGCTTATGTCAAAATTAGTGCCTATTTTGATAGTAGGAAATCAGTATGTGTCAATCAGTAAATAAATTCATAACTGTCACTAAAACACATCTAAGGGATGAGCTCTTCTTATCTCCTTTTTCATCACAACATCTTTATGTTTAAGTCAGTGTATAAAGAGTTAAGAATCTAGTACTGTAATTCTGTAAGAGAACTAGGATATCCAGGTGCAGAGAGAACAAGTTGCTTGGTTAGTTGTCTCTCTTCCCTGTTCTACTTGTGGAAGACACTTCTCTTCACGACTGAATCTTCACCCCACCTTTCTTGTCTTGTTTCTAGTAGATCCCAAAGTTTTTTCCATAAAGAGTTTATGAACAGTTTTCATTCACTCCAAATAGTTTTCTTTGGCCAATAAAAACATACATGAATGGCAGTTTTTCAGTTTTGAGTTTGGGTCTCAAAAGGTCCTGAGTGTTTCTACTTTTCATTCTGTGGGAATATGGATGACCTACCTGCTGGAGGATGAGAAGAGAACACAGCTGACCCATGTCAGTCAAGCCTTTCCTGTTTCTGTTGAGTCAGCTCAGGGATCCAAGAATGTGCTTTCCTTCAAAGCCTTGAGCAAACTCAATCAAAATCATCAGACATGATGATCCCTGCTAACCCTAGACAAATGAACAGTCATTGCCATAGAGTTCCTGTGTTTGCCTATCAGATAGCACATTTGTGGCCTAAAGTAACTCACACATTGCTCAATAACATAGCTCCAATTATGTAAGGACAGACATAGATAGTAGCCTGTTTTAGTTTCCCTTGCATCTGATCCTGACCATGAGTTCTGGCAAATGATAAGTGTGACATTTTCAGAACAGCCCTTTAGTGAAAGGGAAGGGTTTTCTTTTGCTTTCTAGTGTAGCTGTGAAACTGCAGTACTGGAGTGATACCTACAGGACCCAGAGTAACTTGATCCATGGACAATGCTGAGGATGGAAGCTACCAATTGAATTAAAAAAACAGAACAATGGAAAGACTTGGGCCTGATGACTGTAGATTTGCCCCACCAGCCCTAGACCTATCTTAGTGTAATAGAGAATAAACCATGTTTTTCACAGTACTGCTATTTGGATTTTTACTTTGCACATAGCTGATATTAATTCTAATTGAAATAAATACTTAATTGGTCAATTTGGCAGTTTAGTATTATTAAAATTGGTTGTGTACTACTCATGTTCATATTCTGGATTATTTTTGTTCTTCCTTTAAACATAATACTCTTAGTGTTCCTGTTGCTATGAAGAGATACCATGACCATGACCAATCTTATAAAGTGAAATATTTAATTTTGGAGGCTTGTTTACATTTTCGGAGTTTCAGTTCATTTTCATCATTGTGGGCAAGGTGGCATGCAGGCAGATGTGGTGCTAGAGCAGTAGCTGAAAGTCCTATATCTTGTAGTGAACAGGAAGTCGACTGACACTGAACATAGCTCAAGTAAAAGGGACTTCAAATTCTGCTCCCACAGTCACACACTTCCTCAACAAGGCCATACCTACTTCAACAATGCTACAACAGTTGTGTAGCTTGGTCTTCTTGTGAAACTCCTAACAGATGGAGAAGGACTCTGACTCTTGTTACCTACTTTTGGGAGCCTTTCTCTTACTGGGTCTCCCTATTCAGCCTTAATAGGATAGGAGGTGCCAATCTTACTGCTTCTTGATATGCATGACTAGCTGATATACATGGGAGGCCTGCACTTTTCTGAAGAGAATGGAAAAGTTGAAGTGAGGGAAAGAGGGTAGGTTGGAGAGGAAGGCAGGAAGAAACCTTGTTTGGGCTGGGGGAAAAAGGAATCTAAAAGTAAAATCATGGAAAGATTAGAAATACCAACACCATACCTTAACACAGTAAATGCAGTTTACAGAAAGCTCATACCCAGCATCAACTCAAACAGAGAAAAATCCAGAGCAATTCCACTAAAATTAACAATAAATCAAGTTTCTCTACTCTCTCCATATCTATTCAATAAAGTACTTGAATTCCTTGCTATAGCACTAGGACAACAAAAAGAGAACAATGGGATACAGATTGGAAAGGAAAAAATAAGACTTGGTTTTTACAGCTCATATGATAGAATACATAAGTGGGTCCAAGAATTTTGTCCGGAAGCCCCTACAGCTGATAAACACTTTCAGTAATGTGGCTGGATACAAGATTAACGAAAGAAAGAAAGAAAGAAAGAAAGAAAACGAATAGCCCTCCTATACAAAAATGAGAAAGTAATCAATCACAGTAACCTACAATAATACAAAATATCTTGGGGTTAACTAACCAAGCATCGGAAAGCCTTGTATGTCACAAATTCATTTTTTTTAATAAAAAAAACAGGAGAAGATGTCAGAAGATAGACATTTATCCCATGCTATTGGATCAGTAGGGTTTTTTTTAACAAAGTAAAAAAAATAAATAAAAAATAAAAAATCCTAATAAAATAAATCTACAGATTCAGTGAAATCCCCATCAAAATTCTAACAACATTTTTTTTTTCTAACAACATTTTTGACAGATCATGAAAGGTCAATTCTCAGCCTCATAAGGAAAAACAAAAACCCCGAAAATCCAAAACAATACTGAAAAAGGTAGAAACTGCAAGAGCTATCACCATTTCTGTTTTCAAATTGTATTTCAAAGCTGTAGTAATGAAAACCACATGACATTAGCATAAAAACAGACATGCTGATCAATGGAATTGAATCGGAAATCCAGACACAATGCACATACCTATGGACACCTGAGTTTGATTAGAAAGCCAGAAATACACACTGAAAATAAGATAGCATTTGTCAACAGTGTTTGTCAAACTAGATGTTTGCATGTAGAATGCAAACAGATTTATATCTATCAATCACCCTGCACAAAAACTCAACACCAAATGAATCAAAAATTTCAACATAAAACCAGATATATTGAACCTGATAGACGTGAAAGTGGGGAAGAGCCTTGAACGCATTGGCACAGGAGATATTCTTTTTTTTTTTTGTTTGTTTGTTTGTTTGTTTTCCCGAGACAGGGTTTCTCTGTGGCTTTGGAGCCTGTCCTGGAACTAGCTCTTGTAGACCAGGCTGGTCTCGAACTCACAGAGATATGCCTGCCTCTGCCTCCCGAGTGCTGGGATTAAAGGCATGTGCCACCACCGCCCGGCTCACAGGAGATATTCTTAACAGAAAACCAACAGTGAAGACAAGAAGATAAACAACTATTAAATGGGACCTCATGAAACTGAAAAGTTTCTGTAAT